TTCGACCCAACCCGACCCATGCCCATCCCTAATGCAAACTTTCAATAGGCCAATGGATTAATGTTGGGGGAAAAGAATCTTAGCTTTATAAATCATGATCTTCCACTCCATTGCAATTATGTGTGTGTATATGTGTGTGTATATATATATATATATAAAGGGTATTGGAGAGTGATGTATTTAGGGATGAGTACGAGATCCGGATCCGACAAATTTTATAAGATAATTCTTTTTTAAGTTTAGCTTTGGACCGAGTCGAGTTTTACTAAGGGTAAGGTTAGATTGGGTTGAGTTGAGGTTCAGGGTGAAAAATATTTTACCCGACCTAAGATAATAATATAATCATCCATTATATATTTAGAGAAAATTATAATAAAATTTTCATATATTTTCAATTTGGTTCTAGGGTTTACACCTTTTTATATTGTGTAAAACTCTTTTAGCTTTACACTTTTTTAGGACCACTGGGTGAAAAAAATTAAAGGCCGAGATTAATAGTTGACAATGACAACATATTCACTGAAAACAAACAATGAGTTAATCCCATCCTTTGATTTCCTTCAATCCAATAATACTAAAAAGGTGTAAAACTAAAAGAGTCTTACACAATGTCGAGTGACTCGAGTTAGACCATATATAATTTTTTTGGCAAAAGGGTAACTTTTGTCCCTGTAATAGACCTAATTTATCACTTTCACCCCTATCGTAATTTTTGCATCAATTTAACCCTCAAAGTTGCTCAATTACACCATTTTATAACCCTATCCCTAACTTAAAACCCTAAATTATAATCCCTAAACCCTAATCTACTACAGAGGCAAAGTTAACCTTTAAGCCTAGATTTTTATCCCAAAAATAGGTTGAACGGAACCTCCCTAAACCCAAATCGAATCAGGTGATAAGTGGATACTCGATATGGTTGCGCGACTTTTTCTTATAGGGGTCTATCTTCTCTGACTTGACTCAGCTTGACCTACTTGACTCAGCGGTTGGAGTATCGCTTTCATACGACGAGAGTCATTGGTTCAAATCCAATACTAGGTAAAACCGGTTGAAACCCCTGCTCAACCAAAATCTGACTATGCACATCCCTAATTATACCTCTTAAAAATTTCAAATTCCTTATAATTTGGATATTTATTATGTTTTCTATTGATGATTTATTTTATATTTAATAAAATTTTATCATTTTATAGCTTTGAATTTTGGCATAATGACAAAAAAAAATACTCATAATATTTGGTTAAATAATTACTTTGACACTTATACTTTATTTTAGAATATTTTAACCCCTGACATTTTATTTTAAAGCCAAATGACCCATCCGTTGAAAGAACGATAGTCAACAAACACAATCAACACTTCAATATAAGATTTCTTTTGCCCTAAATAAAATATTAGGAGTGCCAAAATGCTCCATAAGAAAGGATAAGGAGAAAGTAATTATTTAGTAGGGTTTTCTTTACCTTAAAATAAAAGGTTGAGAGCTCACTGCTTCAAAAAGAACAAGAGACCAACTGAACTTTAATCAAATGTTAGAAATATACTTTCTTAACATTATATCTTAATTTTTTATATATATTTTTTAAAAGTTGACATAAAATCACAGGGGTCATTTCCTCCGCTCTTTCAAAGCTTCTTTATGTTGTAATTTTTTAATCACTTCCCAGAGCTTTGATTAGACAGTCCTGGGAACTTGTCTTTTCTCCCATGATATAAAGTGTACTTTGTCCCAACCTCAATTTGCAATCCTAATTATATAAAGGCATATTAACAAAAATAACATTAAATGTTTATGAAAATGATCATTTTGGCATCTATTTTTTTTGGACGTTTCATTTTGGAGTAAAAAAATTTCCGTTACACGTGATTAACACTCAAAAATAGAATTTTTTATGTTAAAAATGATAAGGGCTAAAATACCCCGAAAAAACAAGAAAAAATGATTATTCTGTCAGATTATGAGTTTTTTTGTCATGCAATGAAATATTAGGGACCAAAAATACTCAAAAAAAAAAAAAGAATAAAAGGTAAAATATCATTTTAGTAAATATTGGGGGCTAATTTAGCATTATACCTTATATAAAGTGGAGAATAACTTTACGTACTCCTCCTTAAGGCTTAATGTACTAAAATTTATTCCATTTGAACTTCATAAAGATATAGTTTATATATAAGTTCACCTTCATCATCACTTATCTTGTAAATTATTTCATAATTAATTATTATTTAAAATTCGATGTTGGGATCACCATTCTACACATTGGAATATTGGGATTCTAGTTTAAATTGTATGCAATGAATTTGGTCATATCAAAAGTTAATTAATATAAAATTTTTGAACCCAAAGAGCGGTTTTATCGATAAAGGAAATGTTGTTCTCCTTAAGTGATTTAAGTTCGAACAACTTGTAATTGTAGATATACGCGTGTTTGTCCGAATTAAAAACCGAACATAGATATTACATTATAATCATATTAGAATGTTCGAAAGAAATCTCCCCACTAATGATGATTTGCCAAGTAATATCGACTTAAGTTGGGATCACCATTTTGTAGATAGGATTAGATGTGAAAGGCCAACGAAAATTGAACCAAATGTTGGTAAAGGCCAACGAGTTTGAACCAAATGTTGGTATTTTTAGGTTGGCTCTTCACTTGATCACATGCAAGTAGGCATGGGCACATGACAGGTCAGGTCGAGTTTTCGGTCAATCTGATCGATCAAAAAATATATACATCTCACCTGAAATCTGATTCGACTCGAGTTTAGGGATGATTTTACCCGACCAGAATTCGAACTGACTTTTTGAGATAAAACTCGAACATTCCCGATCCAAAATGAATATATTTATAAAATTATTTTTATTCAATTAAGTACCCCAAAGCCTTATCTTAAGGAGGACGATCATTTTTCTCGACCCGATAGATTATGATCCCATTCGATCTGGTTAGATTGGATTTTTTAATCGTGAGTTGATTTGAGTCTTTTATTAAAAAAAATTTAGATTGAGTTGGGATCGGATTACTCTTTCATTGAGTTAGGTCATATCAAATCAAATTATATTGAAATCTGAGGTCAAATTAAGGTTAGATATATACTCTAAAGTTTTAGATCGAGGTAAGACAACCAAAAACTCGTCCGATCTTGTTGCCATTCCTAATCTCAAGGTTCAATTTGACATCATAAATCTTTTTTGGTCCAATTAATATAATAACTTGACCTCATAGTTCAAAAAAAAAAAATCATTTACTACAAGTATGGATTTGGATTGAAAATCCATGTTCAAGAACCAATTGAAATCAATAACCCTAGTTCAAGTGTATAATTGGTCTAAAAATCAAAGTCAACCTAATTGGACTAAAAAACTTTACATATTGAATTGAAGTTTAAAATCATTTTTAATAATCTGTAGCGACTAAAATGTGATAAATATTCATACTCTTTCTAAATCATTGACAACACACATACGACAAACGTAGCTGTTCAAACCCATGATATTAGAGAAGAATTAACACCCCTTTTAGCACCGAGATCACTCAATAAATTCAGTTTAAAATCGAACTTCAATACCTAATTAAACCGAAAAGTTATGATATAGTGAATACTGATGCCCAAAGGAAACTTTGGATGCTTCTTCCTTATTACAAAATAAGGCCCTCTTTTAGGGCTATTGACAGCAAATTAGGGCAACATAGCTTTTGAGGTGTTTACCATTCATATTCATGGAACTATCATGTCGAAGTGACGAGTTCTAATAAAAAATATATTTTTTTATTAAAATTTAATATTTTGCAAATTATTTTTTTCGGGCTGCCCTATATTGCCAAAAGAACCCTCTTTTAGGGCTAATGACCACAGATTAGGGCAACATGGAAAGTTGCAGTAGTTGGGCCAGACCCAAAACGCTAAATGGCCTAATAGATAGTCCAAGCCACTTAAAACACATGCAAATTAGGGATTTAGCTTAGGTTGTTGTTCGGGTTGGGTCAAATTTTTTAATTTTAAACTCGACTATGATTTAACCCAAATTTATATTTTTTAAATAAAACCGACTAACTCAAACTAAGCTTGAAATCCAAGTATTTGCGGGAGTATTTTATATACGAAAGAGTAAAGATAGCATAGTGTGACAAAATCAAGGATGAATATTTAGCACAAACCAACCGACATCAGTATTAAATGAATTGTTGTTATTTTTTGATGTCCCGAGTTCGAGTACCATGAATGTAAGAGGTGTGAGCGTTCAATGTCAAATGGTTGAGAGTTTATCTTTAAACATATATTGTCTTGTACTTACCACATATTAATAAAAAAAAAAGATGAATATTTAACTCAAATTTGAGATGTATTAATTTATTTTATTTTATATATTTTTAAAAAAAATTAAATTTGAATTTAAGATGGCATATATTCAACATGAGAATAATAATATAATTATTGTATACGTTTAAAAATAATTATTATAATATTCTTATATTTAAATACGAGGTAAAGTACATAAATGGTCTCATGACTATAGGTAATGTTTTATTAAGTCCATCGAATATTAAAGGTTATAAAATGATCTTCTAACTATCGAGTGTTATTTTATTGAGTCCATCAACTATTAAAAGTTATAAAATAGTCACTCGATTATTTATTATGTTTCAAACTTGTCATTTTTTGTTAAAAATTAATGATATCCTAAACTGAACGTTAACCTGCTGACTATGATATTATAAAATCGAATCCTAAAATATCAAACAACTATCATATATCAATTATCATTTAAAATCTAGTTTAGATAACTGTCATTTATTTTAACAAAAAGAATAAATTTAGAATATAATTAATAATCAAATAATTATTTTATAATTTTTAATAGTCGAAAAATTTAAAAAAATAATATTCTATAATTAAATGATTAAGACATTTAATAAAATAATATTTTATAGTCGCAAATACTTTACCTTTATTTTTTTTCGTTCAAGTTTTTAGGGTTTATATTGGCTCAAATATTTGTGTGATGATACCCTGGAATGCAGTCTCTTGAAAATAATCTTTTATTGCTCCTGTAAATCAAAGTTTATAGCTGTTTAATTTCTAATCATATATCTTTTCCTAATTCATAATTTGAGTAAATCATCATCATCATCTTCATCGACATTTCTTCCCCAATTTTGCTTTTGAAATCTTCAACAAAAACATGTGAACATTCCGTCATTCCATTGTTCTTTTCTCGTTTTTCAGGTTTTGTTGTGCTGTTAAAGTGGAATCCTGCTATGGCGGAAGCCAAGAACATTGAATCTTTCAAGTGGGGTAAGAAGAGAGGGATTGGCGGGAGAAACAAAGCGGTTCAATTTTACGAATCGTTTACTTATGATGGTCTCGATTACACTCTTTACGACAGTGTTTATCTCTACAAGGAAGACCAGCCATTGCCTTATATCGGCAAACTTATCAAAATTTGGGAGAATCCTGATAAAGCCAAGTGGGTTAAGGTTTTATGGTTTTTCCGACCTTCCGAGATCTCGGTTCATCTTGTCGATGAGTCGACTGAGCCCAATGAAGTCTTTTTGGCATCCGGTGAAGGAAAGGGCCTAGCTAACGTTAACCCCTTGGTAATTGGAATTACATAGCTTGTTTCAGTACTTCATATTTTGTTTTCTGAAAATCGATAATTGTAGTTCATATTTGTGGTCTGTGTTATTCGGTATAAGTGTCGGGTATTTATTAGACATGGTATAATTAGAATTTTCAAGGTTTTTCCATGTACTTAAAGGATCTTTGCGGTTCATATTCATGTGTCCGACACAGCTATCGGAGTCTAAGCAGCATAGTTTGTGGCTACTTGTGGTGTTTACAGTCCAATATCTGAGTTTTGGTATTTACAGCAATCACTCCAATAATTGTAGTTCATGTTTGTGGTATTTGTTATTCAGATTCGAATATAAGTGTCACAGGTATACATTAGACATGTTGTAATTAGAATTTTTGAAGTTTTTTCATGTACTTGGACTTGGAGTGCAGTTCATATCCATGTCTTGGACACAACTATCAGAGTCTTGAGGCTCTGAGCAACATAGCTTGTGGCTACTTGTGGTGTTTCCAGTCCAATATTTGAGTTTTGGTATTTACAGCTATCAAGTCCAATAATTGTAGTTCAGATTTGTGGTCTTTGTTACTCGGATTCGGATATAAGTGTCAGGTATATATTCAACATGTTATAATTAGAATTTTCAAAGTTTTTCCATGTACTTTGAGGATTTTTGCGGTTCATATCCATGTGTCGGGCACTGTTATCGTAGTCTGAGGAGCATAGTTTGTGGCTACTTGTGTTGTTTACAGTCCAATATCTGAGTTTTTGTATTTACAGCTATCAGTCCAATATTTGTAGTTCATATTTGTGGTCTTTGTTATTCGGATTCGAATATAAGTGCCAGGTATATATTAGACATGTTTTCTAAGATTTTACATGTACTTTGAGGATCTTTGTGGTTCATATCCATGTGTCCGACATGACTATCGGAGTCTGAGCAGCATAGTTTGTGGCTACTTGTGGTGTTTACAGTCCAATATCTGAGTTTTGGTATTTACAGCTATCAGTCCAATAATTGTAGTTCATATTTGTGGTCTTTGTTATTCGGATTCGAATAAAGTGTCAGGTATATATTAGACATGTTATGATTAGAATTTTCAAAGTTTTTATGTACTTTGAGGATCTTTGCAGTTCATATCCATGTGCCAGACAATGCTATCGGAGTCTGAGCAGCATAGTTTGTGGCTACTTGTGGTGTTTACAGTTCAATACCTGAGTTTTGGTATTTACAACTATCAGTCCAATAATTGTAGTTCATATTTGTGGTCTTTGTTTTTCGGATTCGGATATAAGAGTCAGGTATATATTAGGAATGTTATAATTAGAATCTTCAAAGTTTTTCCATGTACTTTGAGGATTTTTGCAGTTCATATCCATGTGTCGGGCACTGTTATCGGAGTCTGAGCAGCATAGTTTGTGGCTACTTGTGTTGTTTACAGTCCAATATCTGAGTTTTTGTATTTACAGCTATCAATCCAATAATTGCAGTTCATATTTGTTGTCTTTGTTATTCGGATTCGGATATAAGTGTGAGGTATATGTTAGACATGTTATAAGTAGAATTTTCAAATTTCTTTCATGTACTTTGAGGATCTTTGCGGTTCATACTCATGTGTCTGACGCTGCTATCGGAGTCTGAGCAAGCATAGTTTGTGGCTACTTGCAGTGTTTTCAGTCCAATATATGAGTTTTGGTATTTACAGTCCAATAATTGTAGTTCATATTTGTGATCTTTGTTTTTCGGATTCGGATATAAGTTGGTATATTTTAGACATGTTATAATCAGAATTTTCAAAGTTTTTCCATGTACTTAAAGGATTTTTGTGGTTCATATCCATGTCTCGGACACAACTATCGGAGTCTGAGCAACATAGTTTGCGGATACTTGTGGTGTTTGCAGTCTAATATCTGAGTTTTGGTAGTGATGACTGCAAGTATACCGGCCTTTTATATGCCCTTTTGGCTACTCTGTTGCAATCTTGTTTAAATTTCTCCCATGAATTCGGTAGACACACACATCAATGGAACAAGTGTTTTCGTCTCATGGTACTTTTGTGTTTTTTTGCCATACAGGTTGAGCTTCATAGTGGTCTCTAGTTCAGAAATTTGGTTTGTAAATGTTGTTGTTCTTGAAACTGATCATTTATGTCCACTTCGATTCGGCCTTGATGATAATTATCTTGGTAGAAGCGGCTCAGCGTTTATCTTTTAGCATACACATTTGAAAATAATTTTGTTCATCAGTTTGATACCTCTTTTTACGCATTTAGCATTGAAATATGTATTTTGCTTTTGTAAGTTCTTTAGCAAACATTTATCTTATTAGCTACCTAATATCTTGCACGTTAACTCAGGCGACGATTTCCGGAAAATGCAATGTAGTTTGCATCTCAAAGGATAGAAGAAATCCACAACCCTCGGATCAAGACCTCCAGATGGCTGACTTTGTATTTTATCGAACTTTTGATGTTGAGCAATGTATTATCGGGGATAAGTTTGTCGATAAAATTGCTGGAATTGATGGTATGTAATCTTCAAACATCTAATGTTTTTTCATTGCGGTTTCTTGTGCAATGCGGGTGGTGTGACTCGTTGATGTTTCTGTTTCTGAAATTGTTGCAGTTAAGTTCATTTTTAACCAAATGTGTTCTCTGAAGCACTCTCCTATTCATAACTCTGTTGCGGACGATACATGTGCCGGTGAGACTGCTAAGGCGATAAGCAAAGAGAACGAAGACTTGAAAGTTGATGAGAAATTGAAGTCCACTGAGAATTTGGGCGAGTTAGATGAGAGGTCACATAAGAAAGTAAAGCTAGATTGTTCTGTGAAAGTCTCCAATGAGAAGAACAAGAATGGACTTACGCCAAACCGGGATTCCGATCGAAATGATTCTGAAGAAAAATCGAGATGTGGTTCAAATCCTAATGGGATATCAGAAAACTCTTCAAATGATTCTGAAGATAAATCGAGATGTGGTACAAATCCTAATGGGACATCAGAAAACTCTTCGACAGAGCCGAAGGTGGATGATGAACTCACAAAACATTCTTGCAGGTCGACCGATGCTTCTTCTGAAGATAAAACGAGATGTGCTACACATCCTAATGGGACATCAGAAATCTCGTCAACAGAAACGAAGGTGGATGATGAACTCACAAAACATTCTTGCAAGTCAACTAATGCGTCTTCTTCAAGGCATCCGAATGATGGCATCGAAACCGATGGAGATGAAGCATCGGAAGTTGCTGATAGAGCTGATTTTGTAAGCGGTGTTTTGCAGTTTCCTCCTGCTTTCCTTTCCTTTTGTCTTTCCCTTGGAACGTGGAGTTCTAATGCACATCAAGGTAAAGATCATTGGGGTTGAAATTTATATAGAACTTCGTCCAATTCGAACCATTTCTTTGGCTTGGTTCGATCCATGCAGGCTCTCGAGGACGATATTTTATCGTTAATATGGTTGAATTAACAAGGGTCCTAGGTATATACCATACCTTAGGTTACCAACAACCAATTGTTCTAATAAATGTGATCATAGTTGCATTGGCTCATACCTTGGGCAGTGACCTGCACAGTTGGTGATCCAACGATTGTTGAATCTAAATACATATCGTATCCGATCTCATTGACATTGTCAATGTTTTTAATTTCACCGGAAATAATTTCACCGTTCATATCGATATCGGTCTTTATTTCAATCGGCCGTTCATATCGATATATGGTGAAATCTTTTAGCATCTCTCACCACAAAACAACCTGACCATCTTCGACAAGCACTTAATCTTGGTTCATTTCAACCACCATGGAGAAGCCCAATCCGATTGTCGACCTCTCACTGTTAACCCTCAAGCTCTTGATTTTCGGCTCTTCGTCTATTCACGCAATGCGAATTTCACCTAACGAATATAACTCAGTACTGTTTTCATCCTTTGCTCCATCTCCAACACTTATAAATCTTGTCCCGCCCAGCGCCTTTCGTATACTGCCCCGACCCAGGCAGGTGCACCTTTGAAAACTCATACTAAAACATATCAAAATTGATAGTTTATGTACTAAACGCACTAAGTGTTTAACGACGACGGGTACTAAAATGAAATGAAAATTGAACGTTAGGTATGATTATTAAAAAAAATTAGGTATTAAAGCAGACGAAAACTGATAATTTAGGTATTAAATACATATGTTACCCTTTATAATTTAAAGACAAATTCAATATAAAAATTAAAGTTCGGTGATATCTGGTGTATTTTACTTAAGCACGTTTAAGGTAGTAATATCCTTTGATTTATTATCGGAAAAGAAAATGCTTGCTGCATTGTTATATGAACGAGACGCCACATATGATAATTATGAGATATACACTACAATCCATGAACAATGCATCAATCGCCTTCTTTGCGACCAATCCAACCTCCAACATCTTGCTTAATTGCCCGGCCCAATTATTGTCGTCGGCGGAGGAGTGTTTGTTCTCTTCTGCAATGACTTTTAGAGAACTTACACGATCAACGAAAAGAAGTCGCCCCATCACGAGTGTTACGTTGGTCAACAGAACGAAGTAAAGTGCCTGAAGCTGATAATGCTCCCTAAGAATCTGTTTCCTAGAAGAGGAAACCCCAAACGTACCAGAACAACTAAGACGGCCACGACCACTGAACATAAAAGCCGTGCTTGTCCAGATGCATCAATCGCGGAACTTATTGCTTAGGGGAGAAAAAATTATGTTTTCGAGTTGGTGTCTCTGAATGATGTACCGCCCCTGATGTGGAAACCGATGGAATTTGATCATCTGATAAAACCGGCGTGAATTTGCTCGACAACTTGTATTCAACGCGGAATCATTAGAAGGCCCGATGCTTCTATCCCGTCTGTGGACGTCGATCCTTCACCAATTCCATTATAAGCACTGGGCTGAGTCTGATTAGCATCAGAACTAGAGGCTTCATCATGGACTTCAGGAGAAACTGCATAGCAATAAAAACCGAAAAGCAATTAACCAAAAGAAAATACATCCATCGGCAAAACCAAAGTCCATGGGTACTAATATCTTTCGAATCTTTTCTTCATTACTTCAATAACTTGGTGATATCAACAAGGATATTTGAGGGTGCTTACGAGAAGCAAGCAAATTCAATGCTTTCAAGAACCCGAAAAGCTAAACCTCATAAGAGACTTTAACTATCTTTCCCAGACGCAAAATTAAGCTCCCTTTCTAAATGCAAATTTTCAATTCAAGAATTAAACTAAACATCAATCCTTAATTGGAGCATCCAATTATCAACGCATAATAAATTGAAACGACACTCCAAAAGGCGCATAAAATCTGAATAGAGGGAGGGAGAAGAAGATTACTAGTAGAAACCCAAAACCATTGGTATTAGTATTCTTCGATACTTCTATTCATTGTTTCAGTAACTTGGTGACATCGATGAAGGATATTCGAAGGCGCATATAAGAAGCAAGTTTGGTGCTTTCCAGAACCCAAACACTAAACCTTGGAAGAAACTTGAGTAGCTTTCCTATTGCAAAATTCAGCTACCTTTATAAATCCAATTTTTCAATTGCTAGGATTCAACTAAACCTCGATCCTCAATTGACCCTCAAAGTATAAATACATAGCAAACCGAAACGAGTACAACCCTTCAAAAGATACATAAATAAGAATTGAGGAATATTTATGGGCACTACAATCAACAGAACATGAATCCATCAACAAGACCATCGGTATTGGTATCTTTCTAAACATTTATTCGTTATTTAAGACTTTTCAGTACCCCATACATCAATCAAGGATGTTTAACCGCTCTTACGAGAAGTAAGCTCAATTCTTTCCAGAACCCAACAAGCTAAACATAGAAGATGCTTCGACTAGATTTCCCAAATCCTAAATCCAACTACCATCCTAAATTTCAATCTTTCAATTACTAAGATTTAACTAAACCCTGATCCTCAATAGACATAATCAACTGAAAAGATACATAAAAAATTGAAAACGGAGGGGAGAGAGGAAAAGGGTACCGGCGATTTGACTTGGGAGTCGGGTGGCGGATCTCGCGAGGGGGCCGTCGACGGCGGCGGAGGGTTGGTGTCGATCTGGTTTTCAGAGTGAGGCGGAGGAGAGGAGGGTGGTTTTCGAGTTGACCCGTAATAAAAGCCAAGCGATCGGATCCTCTTTCGAGATTTTCCGGCGCCGACTTTCTTTGCTGCTTGTTGCCATGTTTTCACGGATTTTGTCTGTTGAAATCTTGAAATTCGAAGACCACAAACGGACCGAAGTAATAAAAAGCCTCGATTCGGCTTGCTTTTGATTTGGGTAATAATAAGGGTAACTACTTTTTTTTTATAGGCTTAATACTAAAATAAGTGCCAAATTATTAAATTCTTGAAGGGTACTAAAATTTTTTGATTTATCTTGGTGTCTAATGTTAAAACGTTACTCATTTAGGTGTATGGACAGTCAACAATGTTAATTTTTCCCGTTAAGAAACATGTCACAATCTAGTAATTTTAATTTTTACTAAGATTTAACTAAACCCTGATCCTCAATAGACATAATCAACTGAAAAGATACATAAAAAATTGAAAACGGAGGGGAGAGAGGAAAAGGGTACCGGCGATTTGACTTGGGGAGTCGGGTGGCGGATCTCGAGCGAGGGGGGCCGTCGACGGCGGCGTAGGGTTGGTGTCGATCTGGTTTTCAGAGTGAGGCGGAGGCGGAGGAGGGAGGTTTTCGAGTTGACCCGTAATAGAAGCCAAGCGATCGGATCCTCTTTCGAGGATTTTCCGGCGCCGACTTTCTTTGCTGCTTGTTGCCATGTTTTCACGGATTTTGTCTGTTGAAATCTTGAAATTCGAAGACCACAAACGGACCGAAGCAATAAAAAGCCTCGATTCGGCTTGCTTTTGATTTGGGTAATAATAAGGGTAAACTACCTTTTTTTTTTATAGGCTTAATACTAAAATAAGTGTCGAAACTATACTTAAATTCTTGTATAGGTGTCTAAACTATTTTTTGATCCATCTTGGTGTCATGTGTTACAAACGTTACTCATTTAGCTGCATGGACAGTCAACAACGTTAATTTTTCTCATTAAGTGACACATGTCACAATCTAGTAATTTTAATTTTTTAAAAAATATTATTATATTTATAAAAACCCTAGTTTCTCTTAAATTATAAAAAAAGCCTCAAAATACCTAAAATCCTCACCTCCTTTTCGGCCACGACCACCATCGCCGACGTAGTCTATGTCATCCTCTTAGTCATACGTCATCGTAGTTGTCGTCGCTTGGCCGCCAAGATCGTGTGAGATCACGATTTTTCATCCTAGGGTTCGCAGGGTATAAAACATGTATTTTCCATCGACCAGTTAGGATTTCATGAGGATTTTGGTAGTTGGGGGAGATAAGGTCAAGTAGAGTTTCATCAACAGCAAAGGGCGACGACTGTCGTGGGCAGGGCCGTGGTTGGGGGTGCGCAAACTGCGCGACCTCGCAGGCCCCCCAAAAAATGAGCCCCAAAAATATATATATATATAGTGGCGTTTTACCAATAAACGCCACTATAGATGGACCTATTACGTCATTTTTTCAAAAAAAAACGTCACTATTATTGCGGCTTTATTGATAAAACGCCATTATAGATGGATCTATTGCGGCGTTTGTCAAGAAAACGCCACTATTATTGCTCCGAAATCGAATATGTTTAGAAAATAGGGGCCCCTTTATACGAATTTGTACAGGGCCCTCGAAAACCCTGCCACGACCTTGGTCGTGGGTTTAGGGGTTGAAACGAAAGTTTTCAAAGTTTTTGGGGTTATTTCAAAATATTTATGTTTTTTCTTTAAAAATCTATATAATTTTATTTTTTTAATTTTTAATAAATTTTTTAAAATCACCAGATTATGAGACGTGCTATTTAATGAGAAAATTAACATCGTTAATTACCCGAACATCTAAATGGATAACATTTGTAACGTTAGGTACCTCTATGAGTCAAAAAATAGTTTAGGCACCTATTCAAGAATTTAGTTATAGTTTGGACACTTATTTTGGTATTAAGTCTTTTTTATACTCAACTTTGATCATATTTCTATTTGAGACACTTAACTTTAAAAGTTTTTCAATTTCATCGTTAAGTTTTCAAATTCCACTCTTCTATAACACTTGACCTTTAAGTGTTATTTATTTTTTGATAAAATTATTTTGGGGGATTCAAAATTAGAGTTAACTGAATCAATTTATAGAGTTATTCAGTTTTTAAATAAACTTGAATAATTATTTTACTTTTTTAAATATGAACTTTTAAATCTCGAACAAAATTAAGTCTATTTGTTATCCAATTGAACTTTTAAATTGATAAATAAAATTAATTAAATCTCGAACAAATAAATTGAATTAATTAAATTTTTTTGGCTAATTTTGACTGTTATTTCTTAATATAAAATTTACAAATTTGATGGAAATATGACATGTAACACTAACTAATAAAAAAGTTTTTCGATTTAAAAATCAACATTGATCCAATGAATGAATTGATGGAATTTTAAAGTATAATAATAAGATCCAGCATTTCCCAACACCTCTTTCGGAAAACAGTTGAAAATACCTACCTACATTTTAGTATTATGCCTTTTTGCATTTTTGGCAAATTATGTGTTTAATACCTAAACTATCAGTTTTAATCTGCTTTACTACCTAAACTTCTAATTTTTTCAAAATCATACCTAAAATTTAATTTTTGATTCATTTTAGTACCCCGTTCAAAATTTAATGTTAAGTTTTGAAAAAATTGAAAGTTTAGATACTAAAGCAGACCAAAACTGATAGTTTAGGTGCTAAACACATTAATTCTTAACGACAATGTACTAAAATGAAGAAAAAATTGAAAGTTTAAGTACTAAAACGGGTCAAAACTAATAATTTATGTACTAATTGCGTAGTTTATCCTTTTTTCCTAACGTTGTAGGCCAAATCTCAACTCTTTAAAACTGCAGGATGTGGTGACATACAAGAACTGGAACGAGCAGGTATGATATTTCTTCTACGAGAATATATTTCATAATTATGGAAGAACTTAAACAATAAAAGGATAAACTACATCAGATACCATCGAACTTTAAGTATTGTGTTGTTTGTACCACTGAACTTTTAATTTTGTCAATTGTAGCACTGAATTTTGATTTTTATTTCAATTGTACCATTGAACCTTTAAAACGTTAATGGCAAGTTGACGTGACTGACGGCTGCTGACATGGCTGATGGCGGCCGATGTAAACACCTCACCAAAACGATGTCGTTTTGATATGGCAGTTAACGATTTGACAGTCCAATGATATAATTGAAACGAAAATCAAAGTTCTCAGTGCCATAATTAAAAAAATTAAAAGTTCAACGGTATAAACAATATAATGCCTAACGTTCGGTCGTATCTGGTGTAGTTTACCCAAGTGAAAACATGAGAGCCAGAGTATAGTAAAACCATAACCTTTACCTGTGTATCAAACAAATAGTCTAAAAGATAATGTCTCGAGCTAGGGATAGATTCATAAGTAAACTGCTCCCTTTGGCCTCGATTTCTGTAAGATGACGGATTCGACTCTTATCGTTCTATACCTTCGACAAAATCCTGCTCTACAAAATTTTGCAGTAAGTAGGAAATTATTGAACTAGAAGATCAGTTATCAACGTCCATTATTTCTAGCCTAAAGACAGCACATGAAGAATTGCATTTGATGCATATCTACCATAGACTAGAATCATAAGATATGAGTCATATGACCATGAAGAAACCTTCTGATCCTTGATCAAGAAACCCGAATGCGTTTCATACGAGTTTGGTTGTTTTTGCCGAACTACCGGCTGTAACTGTAGAATTCACACCATTTCCCTAAATATTTCTTCACCAACGTCAATTCCCTAATTTTTTTTACTAACATTGTTGGCCTAAATAAGCCGCTAAAAGCACTTAACATATCTGTTGACACTTTTAGTGAAATCAATTTCATTAATATATAGTTGGGAAGTTGGTAAACTTATTCAAGAGGAAACCAGTACGATCTGCACTTCACGAATAAAAAATAAAAGAGGTATAAGTGGTCATCAATGGAGGACGCTGAATTTGGTTATATCTGATTAATGCAAGAAAAGAAACTGGGAAAGAGAGGGAGCACTATTCTCATGGCAGATGGCTCAGAACTTGAAGAACTTAATGCTCCGAGAGAAAATGATCACTTATTCATCCTAGGGGCGAAAACATATTTTCAATAGAAAAAATTCTAAAATATATGATGATTTTAAATTTTCAGGGGCGACTGCCTCCATCCGGCTCCTTCGGTCCATCCCTGTAAGTTATGTAGCAAGACAAAAAAAATATTTGCAATACAGTTGCATGTGCTTATGAATGGATACTTGCATGTCCACTGTTTGTGACAGAAGCAATGCATATTTACCCATTGTGTTTTAGCTTCAATGAGTGACATTTATTTATGCCCAATATTAACCCATCTTCGGTTATTAGGTTCTCCAAAAGAGTAATACGAAGGTGGTGATGGAAATTGTAGAGCTTACAGTTTTCATTCTCTGCTATTCAGCATGTCCAACAAGGTGAATGCAGCTTTCTGGAACCGTTCCTTCTCTTCTTCCAAACTTTTCTTCCTTTCAAGAGCAGAGTCTCTACCTCTTCCATTATTCCGAAGAGTTTTGATCAATTTCACTGCAGAAATTTATTTGAAAGGTAATCAGAATATAATGTTAGGAGAAATAACAGAGTTTGATCCATTATTCCCAAATTAAGTTCCACATTGCGATTATTCACTGATGAAGTAACAAAAAACGATTCGCTCTCTTTAGCATCTGAAGCATATTCTCCATTGCCATCTGAACATTTTGTGACAAATCTGTATTAATTAAATAGAAGTTACATAGCATAAACAAATATAAGGAAAACAACACTATCGGATAAAATAAATTGTAAAAGCATTACAAGGAATCGTTCATAGAAGTGAAATTTGTGTATTCAAATTATCATCCTCGAAAATGTCCAAAATCCACACACAAAAATACGAGGAAAACATGAGATATCAAGAAATTAACGATTAATTATCCAATTTAAAACCGATTCAGGCCAAGAACTTCACGTTTTCACACCGTTTCATAAACAATTTGAATCACGATGGTAAACAATAACGAAATGCATTTGTTCGACGCGAATATTTAGAACATGCGATGGTTGAAAGGAGAAATCACGTAGCGAAAGAGAATATGGAAAGCAGTTTGGAATGATAAGCGAAGCGAAAGTAATAATCGGACAAAGTGAGAAAGATGAAAGAGGATTAACCATAAATGAGGGAAGAGAGGAGAGATTCAGCTTCTTCTGCCGCAGGCGGAGGGAGAGACGGAGCATCAACCTTCTAGGATGGTTGAAGTAGCCATTGCTTTCGATTCGAGCTTGATTCGGTACGTAAATTCTGGTTTGTTTGGGAGGCGCAATTCAAATTACTGAATATTATATCGCGGCAAATGTGTTCACTTTACGCCTTTGAAGTACTTTCCCCTATTTAGGACTAAATTATAAATTTTAGAATAAAATTCTTGACTATAAAGTATTATTTGATAAGTTTTAGATTATTAAGAATTATAAATAGTGTTTTAACTATAAAGTGTTGTTTTATTGAATCTTTCAATTATTAAAATTTATAAAATGATCATTCGATTATTTATATGTTTCAAACTCAGTTTTTTTTAATTTGATTGTCATCTAAGCTTAGGGATTAACCTACTAATTAGGTGCATAATGTTTTATCCGTTATATTTGTATGTCACTATCGTTAAAAAAATCATTAAATAACACATATCACGTTCATATTTTTTAAAAATAAATAATATATTTTTTTTAAAATAAAAAATAAGGTGTCGCTTTATTGAATCTCTCAACTATTAAAATTTATAAAATAATCACTCGACTATACATATATTACGAACTCGTCTTTTTAAAAATTTAATTATCGTCTAAACTAAAAGTTAACCAACTGATTAGATGTCTAATATTTTTTTCGTTATACTTTTAGGTATATATCGTTAAAAAAATTCTTAAATAACACGTGTCACGTTTAGATTCTTTTAAAAAATTATATAATATTTTATTTAAAAAAATAAAAAAATATAAACATGTCCCGTGTTACTCTATATACTTATTTTTAATAACACCAAAATCAATTTCGAATATAATTTATACATTTATGCTTGTTAAGCTTCGGATGCCATTCAGCCTTAAAAATTCAGTTAATTAAAAATTAACCGACCAAAATAATCGAACTTTATTCGGTTCGGTTAATATTTTCAAAAAAAAAAAAGTTCGATTCAGTTAGCGGTTAAAAAAGTTCAGTTAATAAAAATTCGGTTCAGTCGGTGACCGAATTAACCGTTTGAACACCCTTGAATATATGTAATTTATATAATTTTATAAAATATTTTGAAAAAAAGGTATAAGTTTTTTTTTTTGGTTGCCCTCCAGTTCTAAAGTTTCGGCATGATAAATTTGGATTGATTCATGTCGTATCCTGACTTTTGTAGGTGAGTCTCCTATCGTGATATAAGTTTTATTTTAAGATAAATTATTACGTATATAATTTTCAAATAATTAAAAAATAATTTTTAGTTAATGAAAAATAATATTTTTATTAAAAAATTATATACATAGATTCTTTTTTTTAAATCCTTCAACCATAACATGATTCAATCATGCCTACTCAGAGGAACCAGCACCACAAGTCAATTTCCAAAGAAATGGCCCCCCGAAGCACAAACATCTCACTAAAGCTTGATATTTTCCATTAGAAAAAGTTAATAAATCTTAGATAAGACCATGATAATACTTTAATATATATATATATATATATATATATTATAATTGATAACATCTAAAATAATTTTGATAATTAACTTTTAAAATAATTTACTTGTTTTTATAATTTCATTTCGTATTATTAAAATTTTATAATTTTATACCCTTTAAATTTTTAATAAATATTTTAAAAATTCACATTACTAATTTAAAGTGACCACCAGTCTTATTAAATTTATCTTTTTGGAAAAAAATCAATAACTTTAAGTAGGCTCGTTTCCTTTTTTTTTTACCATTTTTTTAGTTTCTTAACAAAGTAAAATTTTACTTTTTTAGGTTAAAATTGTCATTTTAATTTTTCTACAACACATCTCTTATACAAACATTTTCTTTCTAAAATTATGTGAAAAATCAACAATGGATAATATAAATGGGACGGAGAATAAATTATTTGATGGACTCGACTCATAATGTCATCTGTGATCCCAACCAGTAAGATTCATCCATCTCAAAGTAACTTCAAAATAAATATCTACTCCTTATTTACATGTAGGAAATATGTGAAGATTCACAATGGAAAAAACGAGATGTTTATATCTTATTGATTGGGACCACGAATAATGTGGTGAGCTAGGTCCATCTAATAATTTTTCGGGATGAAGGGAGTATCTGTTTTCGCCTCTCCTTTTAAATTTTATAAGTTAATCTCTTAAAATATTATAAGTTCGTCCTCTCTGAGATAAAATCTTATATTCAACTTTTTATATAATTTTAATATTTTTCATGTGTGGTGCACGTGTTCGGATTTTAACTTAAATCAGACAATCCCTCTAAAAAATTACTTATCAAAGCCGTGGCGGATGCACTAAGTCTTCTAGGCGTTAAGTGCATCCCATTATTTAGAAAAAAATATGAAATTTAGTTTAATATGTTAAGGAAAAATGAAAAAAAAAATTGTATATCCATTATTTAGAAAAATATTAAAATTTCGGACTCTCATTCTTAAATTTCTAGATCCGTCATTTATCAAAGTTAAGTGTGATACGTGGATCGATTTGAATTAGTCAAGATAAAACCCTAAAAACCAAAATAACAAAAATATTTTCACTGACCTGTTCTAGAGAGAGCCCAATTATCATCAGCACCTACATGCCATGCATAGTAACCAAGCAACCCATTTTGTTTAACGTAAGAAACCTTAGCCCTAATGCTCTGCGTATCATCGTATCCGATCCACGTCGTCCCGTTGTAGCAATAATTCGAAACCACCGTCGCATTGTACACTTCCACGGCGTTGTTCTGCGCAATAAACTCCCTGATCTGACCGTAACCCGCGGCTCCGTCCGGCGTTATAGCCGCCCCACTCGTCGGCTCAAAGAACCCATGGTTATTCGCATTCACAATCCGCCATGCACGGCCGTAGAAAGGAAATCCCATAACTAATTTGTTCGCCGGAATTCCGGACTGAATCCACGATTGGATCCCGTAATCCCCACTGACTTGAGTGTCGGAATTGAATAAAGCCGCCGGAGGTCCGGTCACGGTCGACCATCCCGGGGCGTAGAAATCATAAGCCATTACGTTGATCCAGTCCAGGCTGTTTCTTATAGCTTGGATCGGGTGAAGGAGACTATTATAATACGAGTTGTAAAAAAGCGCCGCCGAGAGAAGCAGTTTTGGTCTACCGGTGACGGCGGATTCGTAATTCAAAGCGGCTCTCCATTCGTTTAGAAGTAAACCCAAGTTGTCCATCTCGGTTCTCGTCGATGGGCGTTCCCAATCGAGGTCGAGGCCATGGAAATTGTAAGATCGAGCTAAGTTTATGGAGGAATCGATGAATGATTTCCGAGAAATAGCTTGTCTTGCCATGGAAGCGAAATCCACCGGCGATGAATTTCCACCGCCTATCGAGAGGAGGGTTCTGACGTTTGGGTTTCTAGATCTGACGGTTGAAGTGAAGGAGGAGAATCGGGGCTGGTTCACCGGAGAAACTGTAACTCGGTTGGTTTGAGGATTAATGTCGGCGAATGCGCAGAAAAGGTGAGTGAAAAGAGTAGAATCTATGTCGGAAACCGGAAATTCAGTGTCGGCGGACCAGTATCCGGCTCTGACAGGATTCTGACCGGCGGAGAAGTGAAACTGAAGTAGAAACGGGAAACTGAAAAACAAGAAGATGAGAAGCTTGGCAGTCATTGTTGACTTTCAGATGAAGGTCTTTTTGGATTGTATAACGATAGCTTGAAGCTCCTTGTGTATATAAATATAAAGGAGCTAGGACCACGCATAAATGAATTTAGGGTAAATTACTTATTTGGTCACCACCAATTATATAATCTCTGTTTTAGTCACTCAACTATTATTTTTTTAAATAATTCTTAACGTTATGTTTCATTACTATTTTAATCACCGCCCTTGAAAAATAAACAGTGATTATCATAGTATTAAATTGCAACCGTAACACAATGTAATAATCACATTGTAATGTTTTTTAAAGTCATTGTAAATCACAACCACAACATAAAATGTAGTTATTTTTTATAAAAAAGCACCATAACGTCTGCAACACCTATAATCACAATATGATATCCGCAACCACGACATAAGCCACAACCACAATTTAGTACTATGGTCAAACTAAGAAGCATGTTTATTTACTTAGGTCGAAATGTATAAAAGTCCTTGTATTATGTGGTTTTCATTGATTAATTTTATTATTATTAGATTTAATTTTAGTTATGATAGGAATAAAAATAAATATTCTATATAAAATATATTCTATAAATTTAATTAAATGAATTAAATAAAGTGATAAAAGATTTGTATATAAACTTATCGATATTTTATTTTTAGATAATATATTTTATTTTATTTTTAAAAAATTATAAAAAAATATTTTTATAAGATAAATTGTTATAATGATAAACTTGTTGTAATAATGAAGTGGGAAAATGATTTCTTTATTTGAAGTTGTATTGATTTTATTTATCTTCGAATAGAACGAGTGTGACAGGACAATTAGAAATTGGATAAATAAATTTATGTTTTTGAGAAGATACACGAAAGACATAACGTCTTCAATAAAAGACACATAAAAGAGACAACGTCTTTCCACATTAATTCTTGTATTTGTCATTTCATCTTTTCAAGCTCCACCAATAATGCTCGCTAGCTCCTAAGTCTCACGTCTTTTGCTCTAACAACAACCTAAATAAGTTTATCCTCGACCAGTTCAAGGATACCACCAGCAACATCACAATTTTAGCATCAGAGGTTGGAAAGACGTTAAGTACTTCATGCGCCTTATTCAACCTATTAAAAAATTACCCTTCTTAAGAAAATAAAGCTTAATGGTCCTTATTTAATTTTTTTCTCACTTTATTATTTGAGTGATCTTACCCTAATATAGCAGTGGCAGAACATAAGCAGGGATAGTTGGGGCCATGGCTCCCCCGAAATTTAAAAAAATTATAATTTAGATCCTTTTAATTAAAATAAAATAATTTGGTCTCCCAGAATATTTTAAAATTCGGATTAAACTTTATATTTTTTAATGTTCTTAATTAAATCCCCTCCCATAATCTTAAAAAAATCTTATTAATCCTCTTAAAATTTCAAAAATTTTAATTAGACCTAATATATTTGGAAAAAATTATAAATTAAACCCTTCAAATATTTTGAAAATTTTAATTTAAGCTTTCAAATATTTTTAAAGTTTTAAATTAGCCCCTCAAACTTTATCACCAAATTTTGTCACTATATTAGAATAATATGGATAATACATGGACCTTCAATAGAATTCACCAATTACTTCTACGGACAGACGTTTTATTTACGGTAACCTGTGGAGATTAAAAAAAGTAAAAAAGGAGATCAAGACACGTGTGTTGCAACAGGCATACGTGGCTAAATCCGTCACCGTCCACCAAATTAGATATTTTTGGGCGTAGGAAACACTAAAAATTGATGAAGCGGCTAATACGTCGCAATGACCAACTCGCGTTGCCGGGTCAAACATACCTTGAATATTAGTAACGTAATTGGTCAAATAATAGGCTTTTATTTTGGTAATACGTCGTTAAAGATTTAACACGTTTAATATATAAGTTATTAATTTTAATCTATTTTAGTACATAAATATTTTTTTAAAATTAACGTTAAATTTAAAACGGAGATATTAAAATGAAACAAAAACTAAATTTTAGATATGATTTTAAAAAAATTGAAAAATTTAAGTACTAAAATAGATCAAGAATGATGGTTTAAATACTAAACACGTAATTTACCCTTAAATTTAATATATTTTAAGTTTGAATTGGATCGAATTTACATTTAAGTTGATAATTTAATTTAAGAATTAATTCTTCTCATGTGTTTACTTTTAAAATAAACAAATCGCACGAACCAAATTACCTTAGTGGTTAAAGGAATTATTGTTATTCCTAGAAGTTACGGGTTCGAGCACCAACGACTCTAAAGCTGATTGGACGTTCATTATCCAATGATTGAGAATACTTATAATAGATACTACTTTATAATCACATTAACTTAAAAAAATAATTTTGATAATTAACATTTAATATATTTTATATTTTTTTATTGATAATTTTATTTCATTAACTTGAGATAATACAAGTCTAGTATTTATTACATCGCCACCAATTGACGTGATCCCCAAGCTTGAGATGCTGCATAGACAAAAACAAAAGAAGGTAAAAAAAATTCACCCAACAAATATTAAAATATATATTTATTATTTAATATTTAATACATTATACTAATTACTAATAAAATATATAACGTTACAATATCAAAGACTCGAATATTTTAAATGTTTTCTTTGTATTATTTTATTGAGTATCTGTTTATTATTTCCTTTAAAATTTTATAAGTTTATTCATCAAAATATTATGAATTTGTCTTTTTTAAGATAAAATCTTATATTCATCATTTTATATATAATTTAAATGTTTTTCATGTACGGTTCACGACTTCACGTGTTCGGATTTTAGCTTAATTCAGATAATTTCCGTTGATAAAATCACCTACTAAAATTAGGAGTGCGACACGGATCTATCTAGATTAATAATGACGAAATCTTGTAACTGGGAGGGGAAAATAAAATAAGATTTTCACTGACCTGTTCTAGAGAGAGTCCCATTATCATCAGCACCAACTTGCCATGCAAAGTAACCGAGCAGCCCATTTTGTTTAACGTAAGAAACCTTAGCCCTAATGCTCTGCGTATCATCGAATCCGATCCACGTCGTCCCGGCGTAGCAATAATTCGAAACCACCGTCGCATTGTACACTTCCACGGCGTTGTTCTGCGCAATAAACGTCCTAATCTGAGCGTAACTCACGGCTCCGTCCGGCGTTATAGCCGCCCCACTCGTTGGTGCAAAGAACCCATGGTTATTCGCATTCACAAGCCGCCATGCATAGCCGTAGAAAGGAAATCCCAGAACTAATTTGTTCGCTGGAATTCCTGACTGAATCCACGATCGGATCCCGTAATCCCCACTGACCTGAGTTCCGGGATTGTATAAAGCCGCCGGAGGTCCGGTCACGTTCGACCATCCCGGGCCGTAGAAATCGTAAGCCATTACGTTGATCCAGTCCAGGCTGTTTCTTATAGCTTGGATTGGGTAAAGCAGAGTATAATAATCCGAGTTGCGAAAAAGCGCCGCCGAGAGAAGCAGTTTCGGTCTACCGGTGACGGCGGATTCGTTATTCAAACCGGCTCTCCATTCGTTTAGAAGTAAACCCAAGTTGTTCATCTCGGTTCTCGTCGATGGGTATTCCCAATCGAGGTCAAGGCCATGGAAATTGTAAGATCGAGCCAAGTTTATGGAGGAATCGATGAATGATTTCCGGGAACTAGCTTGACTTGCCATGGAAGCGAAACCCGCCGGCGATGAATTTCCACCGCCGATCGAGAGGAGGGTTCTGACGTTTGGGTTTCTCGATCGGACGGTTGAAGTGAAGGAGGAGAATCGGGGCTGGTTCGCCGCAGAAACTGTAACTCGGTTGGTTTGAGGATTAAGGTCGGCAAATGCGCAGAAAAGGTGAGTGAAAAGAGTAGAATCTATATCGGAAACTGGAAATTCAGAGTCGGCGGACCAGTATCCGCCTCTGACAGGATTCTGACCGGCGGAGAAGTGAAACTGAAGTAGAAACGGGAAACTGAAAAACAAGAAGAGGAGAAGCTTGGCAGCCATTGTTGAGTTTCAAATGGTCTTTTTGGATTGTATAGCTTGAAGCACCTTCTATACATAAATCTTTATTGAAATAATGGTTGTTATAAAATAAAAAATATGGAAAATTACGAATTTAGTACCTAAACTATCAGTTTTGATTTATTTTAGTACTTAATCTTTCAAATTTTTTTTTAAAATTATACCTAAAGTATAGTTTTTGTTTCATTTTAATATCATGTCATTTAAAACTTAAACGCATTTAGTAAATAAACTATCCATTTTGGTCCGTTTTAGTACCTAAACTTCTATATTTTTTCAAAACTTAACATTAAATTTTGAGTGAGTACAAAAATGAAACAAAAATTAAAATTTAGGTCTAATTTTAAAAAAATTAAAAGTTTAAGCACTAAAACTTAGGTTAAAATTAATAATTTATGTACTAAACATGTTATTTACCCTACTATTTATTATGTGTACAATTATAATAAATGAAACATAATGAAGCACATCCGCGATTCTAATTTAAATCCACAATAAGTACCATACATAAATGAATTTAGGATAAATTATTTATTTGATCACTTATCTATTACATAATTTTTGTTTTGATTACTTAATTATCATTTATTTAAAATTATACTTAAAATTATATTTTAATTTATTTTAATCATCTATCATTAAAAATTAATTCATGATTACCAAACCAACACGTTGTTTACTTAAGTCAAATTGTATAAATAGTCCTTTGATTAATTTTATTATTATAATTAGATTTAATATCAATCATGATGAGGATAAAAAATATTTTATATAAAATATAGGGTAAACTACACATTTAGTATCTAAACAGTCAATTTTGGTCCGTTTTAATACTCAATTTTTTATTTTTTTCAAAATCATACCTATCGTTTAGTTTTTATTTCATTTTAGTACCTACAGTTAAAAACTTAACGTATTAGTACCTAAACTATCATTTTTGGTCCGTTTAGTACCTAA